AAAATGAGTAAATTAATTCCATTTTTAATATAAACTTACAAGAACTTAAAGCATCATCAATTCAATAACAGAATAACAAAAATCTCATTAAAGTTAAAATAAAGAACATAAAGGAAAATTTTTAGAAAAAGTTTACAATTAGTAAGTACAAGAAATATAAAAAAGGTAAGGAATAATCAATAAAGATTTGTAAGTAAAGAAAACTTTAAGTCGTTTGTTGTAACTTGTTATAGCTTTCTTCAATGTTTTATACTAAGATAAAAAATATTCAAAAAATTCAAGTTTCAAAATGTAAAGTACACTTTTTACTAGTAGTTTAAATAACTCTTCTCGTAGTTACAATGCACAACCGGAGAGAAGAACTGTTGTTATGAACTATTCTGATAGATGAAATGACCAAGCTGAAGTAAATTTACAATAACCTTAGAGCTCAATAAAACGGAACAATAGAATTAAGATGAAGAGGATTACAGCATTTCTCTGGTTAAGACTAATTATGGTTCAACATTATTAGATGATTTGAATAATAATTTACAGTAAACTATAAAAAGAATAGCGGAAACAGAAAAATGTCTTATAGAGAAACAAAATGTAATACAAAGGGAACAAAGAAAATTTGAAAGTATCTTAGCTAAAAGAAAATACAGGAAATTTCTGGAAAAAAATAAAATGCTACCCTTCCAAGCTCAAATAGTAGATCATAGATAATGTACAGATGTTGAACACATTCCAGGACAAATGTTAAGGAATACCCCACGGCACTGAAACAATAATTATTCAGGATTGCTCCAGGGACATCAACCATTGTAGGATCATCATCACCAATACCAGAAGGACATCAGCCATCGGTGGACCAACTTCGTCAAGGTAGTATATATTTGTTTTTTATTTAGACTTTCTTTTTTATTCACTTTAACATTTATTTAAGTTTTCTTCAGATATTTCTTTCTTTTTAAAACTAATTAATAACTCATTTTTTTCTTTGTTAACATTTATGGAATGCTTTTGTTTTATTAACTTTAGAATATTTTTACAGGCAGAAGGAACTTCAAGTCTACATCAAGGACCCTCCCGACACATCAAGGACATCAGCCATCGACTTCGGGATTGCTCCAGCGACATCAACCATTGTGGAATCGTCATCACCAATACCAGAAGGACATCAGCCATCGGTGGACCAACTTCGTCAAGGTAGTATATATTTGTTTTTTTAGACTTTCTTTAAATTTTCTTCAGATATTTGTTTCTTTTTAAAACTAATTAATAAGTTACTTTTTTCTTTATTAACATTTATTTCTTTTATTAACTTTAGAATATTTTTACAGGCAGAAGGAACATCAGGACCCTTCCGACACATCAGGGACATCAACCATCGTGGGATCACCTTCGGGGGGACCGTTTTTAACGGGTGCGAATCCCTCCCAACGGTAAGAGCCATCTTCCAATGGCTAGAACCGCCTCCCAATGGTAAGAAGTCCCTTCCAACGTCGAGGATCATCATTCATAGGTAAGACTTATCCCTCTGCGAACAGGAACACCTTCCAGTTGCTTGAAGGTGATCCTATCTGCCGGAGTATGGTACTTGTACCTTATCTTCCGCAGATGCGATCATCTTTAAGCAATTTGAATGTGATTTCTGTTTGCATAGGTGTAAGTCAAGCCTGTGAATGACGATCTAAGTCGTTGTAAGGCACTTCTAACCACTGGGAAGTAGTTCTTGGTCATTGGATGGTGGCTGTTACTACTTGGGAGGGCATTCAATCCTGCTGAAAATGGTCCCGTGCGCGAACAGGGGACCCGCGTCCCCCACCGGCGTTTAATAACAAAAACGTTCGATGTAGGGATGCACCATTNCTGTAAGACTGTCTTTTTTTGGCTTTACTTTAACACTTATATTTTACTTATTTAAAGCTATTCTTTTCTTTCTTATTATTTCTATTAACTTTTCATTCAGAACTTAATGTCTGTTTCTTAGTTATTTTTATCCAATCATTTATTTCATTTACTTACATCATGATTTCTTACAGGTCTTCAGTTTTATTTCAGTACCTCTCTCGTTTAGTGGAGGTATTCGACAGAGTCGACCATCTCAATATAATGGAGAACACGGTCCACCAACTGCAGATTACGAAGACGGCCGTCGATGAAGTCTGCGAATAAAGGAAATGTAAGATGTACTTATACTTTAATCTTTTTATGTACTTTAGTATGGTGTTAATTAGAAACATGTCTCTTGTTTTGGTTTTGACTTTTTGAAACATATTTTTCTTCTTTATTATGTTTTTATGTATTTCTTTTCTGTTTTCCTTACTTATTGTGAGCCTTATCTTTTTTTTTACTTTAATTTCTTATTCAAAACGTAGTTTTTATTTTTACTTATTTTTATTTAATCTATTAAATCATTTATTAACTTTAGGACCTTTTCTTGATTGTAGGGACTTTCAAGTATCCTTCAGGACTACTCCAGCATGTCAAACCATCATGGGAGCCTGACGGAGGGGGCCACAACAAACAAAAGGTAGGACATATTTATTTTTAAAAACTTCATGTCTTTATTTATGCTTTCAATCTTTTATTTGGTACTTACCTCTTACTTATTTTAATCATTTCTTTTTATTTACTTTGACTTTATTTATTATTTACTAATTGACCAGTTTATTCAGAACTTAATTTCTTTTCTACAGGCTTTCTGCAAGTACCAGGGACTTCCAGGTCTACTTCATAACTTCTTCAGCAAATGCACCATGGGATCGTCATCATCAACTCCAGGAAGGACATCAGCCATCGTGGGACCATCTTCGTGAAGGTAGGATTTATTTATTTTTACTTATCAATTATTAGAACTATTTTTTTTGTTTACATTTGTTTTATTAACTTTAGGACTTTTTTACAGATAGAAGGGACTTCAAGTCTACAGCAGGACGGCTCCAACACATCAGGGACACCAGCCGCCGTGGGATCACCATCGGGGGGACCGTTTTTAACGGGTGCGAATCCCTCCCAATGGTAAGGGCCACCTTCCAATGGCTGGAACCGTCTTCCAACGGTAAGAGGTCCCTTCCAACATCGAGGATCGCCACTCATAGGTAAGACTTATCCCTCTGCGAATAGGAACACCTTCAAGTTGCTTGAAGGTGATCCTATCCGCGGGAGATTCGGTACTTGTACCGCATCTTCTGCCGATAGGATCATTTTTAAGCAATTTGAAAGTGATTCCCGTTTGCATAGGTATAAGTCCAGCCTCTGAATGGTGATCCAAGAAGTTGTAAGGAACTTCTTACTTCTTGGAAGATAGTTCCTGGTCATTGGAGGATGGCTGTTACTACTTGGGAGGGCATTCAATCCTGCTAAAAATGGTCCCGTGCGCGAACAGGGGACCCGCGTCCCCCACCGGCGTTTAATAACAAAAACGTTCGATGTAGGGATGCACCATTAAAAAAATTAAAATAAAATTGCATTTTTTATATATTGTTTTATTTATTTTTAAAAAAATGACGTACACTCCCCCCCTGTTTTTTGTTTCCCCCTGGCGACCCTCCCCTCCCTGTTACCGGCCCACCCTACCCCGCCCCGCCCCGCTCCGGGATCCGAAGTCCTCCAGGTCTGGAGACTCCCAAGATTGGAGGACTTCGCGATTACTGGATTCCAAGTGCGAAAACGTCGAATTTTGAAGATTTCGGAGTTAAAAAGTCCCGAAGGTGCAAAGATTTCGAAATTGGAGAGACCGTGAAGTTCATGTATTCGAGAGAGAAAAGTCTTTGCATCGAGTTCCCCGAATTCGAAAATTTCGAAGTAAGAAAACGCCAAAGTAACTTTGGCGTTTTCCCACCCCTGGATTTTCGAACCCTGAAAACCCGGAAGTACAAAGACTTCTTATCTCGAAGTCTTGAACTCCACAGACTTACCAATTCCTAGATCTTCGCATCCCGCGACCTTCGAACTTCGAAATCTTCGAAGTTCGACGTGTTCGTACCTGGAGATCCTGGAATTCGAAGTCTTCCAATCCTGGGGTCTTCATACCCCGAAGACTTCGGATCCCGGAGTCCGCTGGTTCGGTCCCTCGATGTCCAGTGATGTCCTGGGGATGCTGGTGTTTCCCGCTGTTTCCTGATGCGTTGACCACACCTCCAGCAGGTCCGATTTCCATGACAGGTCCTGGGTAACTTTGCAGATTGTGACGCTCTAGCTGTTTACCTTCTCCTGCCTTGATTACTAAAAAAAAAACGAAGTTAGTAAATAAAATTAAAGATTATATAAAAAATCAATGAAAAAGAGAAATTAAGTTTGAATAAAAAGTAAAAGCAAATAAAAAGAAAGAAACCATTTAAAACAAGTACCTTATAATAAGTGTTAAAGTAAAAAAATAAAAACGAAAAAGCACAAAGTAGTTAATTAATAAAGAAAATATTTAAAGAAAACAAGATCTGTTTAATAAATAGAATCCACAAAAATGAAAGAGTTTTAAAGAATAAAATAAATAAAGACTACCTTGTACTTGTCGATGGACCCCAAGGAAGATGGTCTTCGTTTTCTGGTGTTGGCAGACTCCACCGAAGATTAACAAGCTAGCTGACATCCTTCACGTGCTGGAGGAGTCCTGAAGTAAACGTGAGATCCCTAAAACGTCTTAGAGTTAGTAAATTAAATAAAAGATTTCACACAAGTAAGTAAAAACAAGAAACTAAGTTTTCAGTAGAAACTTAACATAAATGAAAATATACAGCCTTAAAATGATATAAGTATTAAAATAAAAAAGAATAAAAAAGATAGCTAAGGAAGGGACAAATTAAAAAAAAAATAGATCAAAATAATTACCTTTCGTTTGTAGATAGACTCTGTTGATGGCTGACATCCTTATTTGCTTCTTATTGCTGGAGGAATGTAGATGTAAACATCAGAGTCTCAAAAACCTGTATATAATNTACTTTCCGGCACTGCTAAACGCGAAAATGAAGAAAATTATAAGAGCAAAAAATAGCGCAGTGGAATTTCTTGGAGATAAAGAGGATTTGGAAAACACTGAGACGGTCTTAGTATGTAACAAAGTGTGTAGAATCTAACGGTTCAATCAGTTTTAAAGTGCGGCGTCTAGAAAATACTTTCCGGCACTGCTAAACGCGAAAATATGGAAAATTATAAGAGCAAAAAAAAGCGCTCGCTGAATTTCGTGGAGATAATAAGGATTTGGAAAACACTGAAAGGTTTCGGGTGCGTAAAAAAGTGCGTAGAATCTAACAGTGCAATCAGTTTTCAAGTGCGGTGTCTAGAATGTAGTTTGCGGCACTGCTAAACGCGAAAATAAAGAAAGTTATAAGAGCAAAAAAAACGCTCTTTGAATTTCTTGGAGATAATGAGGATTTGGAAAACACTGAAAGTGTTCGGGTACGTAAAAGAGTGCGTAGAATCTAACGGTGCAATCAGTTTTCAAGTGCGGTGTCTAGAAAGTACTTTCCGGCACTGCTAAACGCGAAAATAAGGAAAATTATAAGAGCAAAAAAAAGCGCTCGTGGAATTTCTTGGAGATAAAGACGATTTTGAAAACACTGAAGGGTCCAGGTATATGAAAAAGTGCGTAGAATCCAATGGTGCATTCAGTTTTAAGGTGCGGCGTCTAGAAAGTACTTTCCGGCAGTGCTAAACGCGAAAATGTGGAAAATTATAAGAGCGAAAGAAAGCGCTCGTGAAATTTCTTGGAGATAAAGATGATTTGGAAAACACTGAATTAGTTGAAGTATGTAAAAAAGTTCGTAAAATCTAACGGTGTAATCAGTTTTCCCATGCGGTGTCTAGAAAGTACTTTCCGGCACTGTTAAACGCGAAAATAAGGAAAATTATAAGAGCGAAAAAAAGCGCTCGTGGAATTTCTTGGAGATAAAGAGGATTTGAAAAACACTGAAGGGGTCTGAGTATGTATGATAATGCGTAGAATCTAACGGTGCAATCAGTTTTCAAGTGCGGAGTCTAGAAAGTACTTTCCTTCACTGCTAAACGCGAAAATGAGGAAAATTATAAGAGCGAAAAAAAGCGCTCGTGGAATTTCTTGGAGATAAAGAGGATTTGGAAAACACTGAAGGGGTCCAGGTATGTGAAGAAGTGCGTAGACTCTAATGGTGCAATCAGTTTTAAAGTGCGGTGTCTAGAAAGTACTTTCCGGCACTGCTAAACGCGAAAATAAGGAAAATTATAAAAGCAAAAAAAAGCGCTCTTGGAATTTCTTGGTAGAGGTAGACCTAGATTAGATTACTCTTCGCAAATAGTTAAGGATGTGGGCTGTTCTAGTTTTAGGGAAATGCGAAGTTTAGCTCAAGATAGGAAAGAGTAGAGGTACGTGTCCAACCAGTCTTAGGACTGATGACCTTATGATGATGGAATTTCTTGGAGATAAAGAGGATTTGGAAAACACTAAAAGGGTGCATGTATGTGAAAAAGGTAAGTAAAAAGTAAAAAGAAGATACAATGTGGAAATTACGTAAAATTTCTAGACATAAAGCGCGCACGTCAGTTTTCAACCTGTTGAGCAACTATATTGAAAGTCAAGGTCATAAAATTTACGTGAAAATGCATGAAGAATCACATAGTGACAACAGTTTTTGAATACAACATAGATAGATGAAAATTTGCTTGATGTAAGGTGAAAATTAGGCAAAAGTTCTATGCATAAAGACGCGCAGGTCAATTATCGACCTGTTAAACAATCAAACTGAAAGTGTTTCGGAACGGTAAAAATATATTAAAAATAACGTAGTGGAACCAGATTTTGAATGTATCTTGAATAAAACAAAATTTAATTGATACAATGCGAAAATTACGTGAAACTTTTAAACATAAAGACCCGCACTGAATTTGTGGTCTGCCAAACAGTTTTTTTGAAACTTCCGAAAGGTGAAGTATGTATGGAATCTAGCAGTATTAACAGTTTTTGGTTATACTTAAAGAAGATAAAACTTTTGAATTGGACTATGTAGTGCTTGAATAGAACATAACTGAAATGTCATTTGCTCGGTGTATAATTTATTTTTCATCATAATCCATAAATTAAAGGCATTCCACTTACCTTCATTGCATCTGCTTCTAGTGGATATATTAGACCCAGTCAAATATAAGGACTGCAATCAAATTCCCGCAACATAAGGCTTCCAGAATTGGTCTAACATTCCTGTTGGAGTATTGGTTATATTAGTTTAAATTAAGCAGCACATATTTAAATATATCTAATTGATTTAATATCGTTATGGGACAATATGATAATAAAATTTTTAAAAATATTGCAAATTGCCACGCAAGTTCTTATTGCAGCTAGGTACATATAATATAAAGGGTGATCTTCAGATAATGGGAAAAATTTTAACTATTTGCTTAAAAATAAAGTTTACTATATGTAGGAGTAGAGGTAGGCCTAGATTAGATTACTATTTACAAATATTTAAGGATGTGGGACTAATTAAAAGTACCAAGACAAAACATCCTACCTTTTTTCATGGAAGAAGACAACTGCACAAAAGATTGTACAGGATTTATGTAAAACAGGATAATAACGACGTACAATTAATTTTACCGTACCTGATACATTCATCGAATACAAACGCTTACTAACTGTAAGCACAAACTTGACTAAACCCGAGCAAGGACAGTCGAGAGGTCATTACTTATTAGATAAGTAGCTTTTTTGTCTCTAGTGCCACATCACGACATCACATTCGTTCATACCGAAGCAAAATTATACTATGCACAATAACAGTTAGAAGGATCTTTTAAAAATGATATTCTCTGTTGTTAATATAAATAGTAATATAAGTATAAAACTGAATAATATTATTTAATAATTAGAAATTAACTCATAAAATATTAATTAAAAGAAGTAGTAAGAGGTGTGTACATCAGTCTGTTAATTAATTTTGTAAAGGCAGCCAATCAAGCATAAAACATTCTAGAGTATTTGCCGATCTAATTGTAAATATTTTTTGAAATGTTAATAACTGTAAGCAAATTTCACTTTCTGCAAATAGACAGGATAAGAGATCTTAATCAATACGATAAAATAACATTTAAACGCTACAAACGATTGAAGTAAATAACGACCGTGTTTTATTTAACAAATGATACAATAATTCTAAACAATAAAACGCGCTCGTGAATTTTCGAATTGTTAAACAATTATATTAAATGCAATAAATAGGTAGAGATGTAAAAATATGTGTAAAATATCGTGGTGAAACCAACGAAATTAGGGTAGCTCAAATAAAGAAGCTATAGGGTTGGTCTCGATTAAAAATACAGAGAAATTATTGAACAAAAATGCGCACGTGTACGATTTTGACCAGTTTGGTAATTTATATAACATTTGCAAGAATGTATAAAGTAAAATAGATACACATATGACAAACTGCCTATATGTATTTTAATAATGATTGCGACACATATTCCTTCGTTGGTGAAAACTATTTACAAATGTTATAAACTGCATAGTACATAAGAACTTCATTAATCAAGAATACCATATTTCTAGTACTGTCACTAATAGTTTTCTATTTTCAATGTGTAACGGGCTTTTATATATCTACAATAGACTTGTATTAGAATTGGTTAATCGATTTTTGCGTCTACTAATTAGGAACTTTTCAGTAAGATAAATAAGAAATCTAATCTTTTTGAAGTAAAAATTCATCTTAAGGGTCGTTATAATTGCACTAAAAAATGGACATTTTAAAAATTTACTACTTTAAACAAAGAAAAATTAATAGAAAAACAGATAATATTCAGATATTTACTTGTATATATAATATAACAAAAGAGAGTTTTTACTAAAAAGTATGTTTTAATAAGCGGCGTATAATTCGAAAATTTATAACATATTAAGGTGACTCAACATTAATTTATATTTAAACTGAAATGAATAAACACAGAAACCGGTATTTTACACATATTGACAAATGTATTTCTCGAGTAGGATTCATAAGGTCACAGGAGTTATCTGATTATAAAAAAAAAAACATTATGACGAAAACGAGGACGAGTGCTAGATAACACTTCGACCGAACGTTCTGTGCAATGCATATAGGTAATACGATGAAAACTAAAATAAAATTTATACAGGATTTATGTAATTAAATACGCTAATTTATTCTACTGCTTTATGTGCTTGCTTTAAATGGAGGGATGTTTTATTTTTAATTAAATATACCAATTATAACAATGTTTTATATATTGGAATGTGATCACGAACAATTAATATTTTAATGTACAAAACAAACAAAATCAACTCAATAAATCAGTGGAAATAGAAGAGTTTCTATTAAACCATTTCAGTTGATTATGATATTAAAAATAATGACGCCACAGTTGCGTCATAACTACCAGTCAAGTCGTCACTGAGGATGCTGTCATCCAGGAGCAACGAAACATTTCACATTGCAAATCGCCATCGACTACTACAAATTAGCCCGTAAAGTACCTACTGACAGACAGACACACATGTACTTAAAATTGTTTATTCTGTTTACATACACAGATTGAGCTTTGATTAAAATTTTCGTTATTAATTTCTAATTAAAACGAACGTAAACAAATACGATTATTTACAGTAACAAGCAATAGCTCTGAATAAAACGAAAAAATGTATGCACATTTTGCATAAGAATATTCAGTATAATTTAGGAAAATGAGAAAATTAGCTCAGGATAGGGAAGAGTGAAGATCCGTTTCCAATGAGTCTTAGGACTGACGACCTTATGATGATGATGAAACTAAAGAAAAATTAAAATATTTTCTGTAACATTGCAGAAGAACTATTTATTTAAATGTAGAAATCCAACTGGCACACTTAGTGGATACATACCCAATACTTTTTATTCGTCATATTTGTTGAAGTTCATATTTAATGTAGGTACTTCTTTAAAATTAGTAGATTTTAATATGTAACAGTAGTTATCATTATCAGTTTAAAAGAAAATAATATTTTCCTACAATTGATTGATGTGCAATCAAATTATTTGCAAAAGCCACGGTAAATAATTATATCTGATATAATTAAATAAGATAAGAATATACCTCTTTAAATAGAAAAATTAAGTTAGGAAGTTCCTCGAAGTATTAAACAATCGTTACTTTGTTTACTTAAGCGATATAACTTTCTTGCTGGGCGAATATTATTTTAAACTGCAAAATAAACGTATTCACATAATTTACTTTAAAAAATAGATTATTAATACGCAAAAATTATGCAATTAATAATTGAATGCAAGTAATTATGACCTTTCAAAAACGGCAACTATTGTAAATATATTTGTTAGGTAGCCGATGTAATTTTTATAACCGAAGGATTTTTATATGGAATTGCCACTTAGTCTACCTAGTGAAAGTTTAATTTTTGCCCTGTAAAAAATGGAAAAAAAAACTTTGCGTATGATTAAACTCAACTCGCTTCTTCTCATTGTCAGTATAATGAAAAGCTTGTGGGTTTTAGAACACATTAAAATTTACATGAGAACATATGTAAATGTTCTTTATAAAGGATATCTACTTATTATAATACGTAAAGTTTTTTGAAGTGACACTTTTTTACGCACGGTAGGGCAAGTTCGTTTCATGCGAGTTGCAATGTAACGACATCATGTAACGGATGTCTCGTAGTGGGGATCGCTTGAGCCGTGAGCGCGCTTCAATGCAACGTTCGTTACAGGCAACTCCGGCATGTATAGTGTAAAATTTAAATTCATAGTGTACAAATAATACCATTAAACCAATTCCTTAACCCCTATCCCGGTATGTTTGTGTGTTTGAAGAAGTTTCACTTCAGTAGCGTGTTGTATAATTACACGTTGTATTTTTTTTTTAATAAAGCAAGCTTTGTCGATTTATTATTTACTTATCGATCAAGGTAATGTACTAAAATGATAACGACAGAAATGTGCTATATTTTGTTAAATTATCATTGAAACATTTAATACGATTTAATTAACTTTATAGATGTGTATATACATTTATACATATCTACCTATGGAGGCATGTAAGCTCAAATTTCACGGACAAAATATATTATCCTTGAAGTAAACGAGTAAAAGAATAAACAAGAGGGTTATGTACAATTAAAAGATTCATTTGAAACAGAGTTTTGTTAAAAATGATGGATAAACTGCTACGTTTAGTTGTACAAGTATAACATATGAAATGCAAGGTAATTTCATAGATTTTTTTGTAAAATTTTTTTATTTGCTTAGTTTTTATTGACCTAAAAACGATTGAGCTGGGCACCTTTCATTTATTTCAATTAAATTTTGTTCTAGGTGACCGGGATGTACTCGGATAGTGAGCCACTCTTTCAGTATGAAAATAAACCGTGAATCCAAAAAATCATGTCTGATTTCATTCCAAGTTGATTTAAAATATTTTTATATCTATACTTTTATGATTAAAACCTAATTAATTTAACGTTCGTTAGAATTAAAATCAAAAGGGAATAACCCTTTTCGGTACTTCCTTCTCTGTAAATAAAAAGGCTTTCGCGAATTTATTACTTATTTAATTTACGATATAATATGCACACCTCAAACGTAGCACCAGCACTTTTGGTACCTGTTAGTGTACATAATTGCGCAAAGTAATGTTAGTCACAAGTGCCAATCCTAATCGGACGCGTTTTATTGGTTATCGAAACCGATAGCAGACAAGGATGGGTCTGGTATAAAAATGATCATTACATATTATTATCGATTAGTTCGTTTATATTCCAAATCAGAAACTGTAGCTTTGCCATCAAAGTGAATACTTTACAAAATGAGCGTTCCACCTTTGGGTGGAAGAGTTGATCTTTGACATTGATTTTTTCGAATATGCCAGATCTAACTCTTCCATGAGAAGGTAGCTTGCTTATTCAACATTCATATTATAAAATATTTATCAAACGTACCCATATAACGACCATTTCTGCACATTTGACTTATTCAAAGGTAAGTCGTACTTTTTCTATCTGAAAACACCCTGTATATAATTGAGAATTATTACATTAAGGTAAAGATTACGTCAATACTATTATTAGTTATTTAAAATTTTGTCAAATATAAAAAAGTCTCTTTTAGATTTTAGTAAATTCAATATATTTCAGGAAAATTTTATATAAAATTAAATGTTTCAAGAAGAGCAACTACACGTTGTTCTTAATTATTCCGTTAAAATTGCAATAAAATAATGTTGTTGGTGGAAATTAGAAACTATTTCTATAAATGTCTCATGTAAAAATTTATTATATACACATTCAGAAAGTATTCTTGCGATAACACAGGTAGAATTTTCATGAATTTTCCACAAAACTATAAGTTCAGGTGTATCAAGTACTTCCATGAATTCAAAACGAACAATTAAAAATTATTTTACGTTAATTGTAATTATTTCATATTACCTGTATGAAGTATGATTCTATCTTCTATAATTTTTTGTTTTTAATATTCTGTAAGATAAAAGGGTTTTAAAGTTTAAAACAGTAATAAACGTGTGCTTGATTTTTACTTTCATGTTTTCTATCAATAAAACGTCAATAAATTTATGTAGTTAGGTGAAATTGATGAGTTTAGTGCTGAGTATTATTGGAATAGAGATAACACGCGTTTTAATTTTTCTTATCCGTTTTGAACAAACAAATTTAACGAGTCTTGGAGACGATAACGTGTAAAGATATCGTGCAGGTACTTGGGCACCTGAAATAATACATTTTCTCTGTAAAAAGCAGCTTAATTTCAATTGAGGCTACAAAAAACTTTAAACTACCTATCTAATCTTAAATAATAAAGAAAGATAACGATGTGTTACACAACTGATAGCACCGTTTATGTGCTAAATAACTGAAAAATTCTGCGAGTTTCATTAAATTGCCCAAGATAAAATTCAAATAGGGACACCATATTGTAGTTTTGTGGTACTTTTCTTATTTATTCATTATTTTACCTTCAAAACAGTTCAATCCCGAAACTAAGTGAAATATTTAAATAATGAATTCAAGTTCTGTCGAATAATATTGAGATTACCTGAAAAATCACTTTTTAGTACGTGCGTTACGATTAACAACTACACGTTAACTTTTTCGTATAAGCCAATTTTGTACATATTTAAATAATTCTTATCTGTTTCATGATAAGCTCGATGATGCATGTGTGATATAGGTATTCATACATCCAGGTAAGAATTACTGGAGGAATTTTTAGTTTAATTTTCCTTCTTTTTCGTGTTCTGTCTGTTAAATACGTTGTGATGAAACGGTAACACTAGAGTATTACTGTGTTATTAAATAGGCATCTTGAACTTGTTTAATAACACAATATATTTTATATAAGTATGTAATTAATTAAAATGATTGGTATTATTTTCAGAAATGATGGTGGACGATTTAATAAAACAAAACTCCAGTTCTGTAGAGTAAGTGGAGAAGTGGTCTCTTCACTTTGTTTTGATAAGTGAGATTCAACTCCTCCAACTTATTTTCGGAACTCAAAACGGCACTGAAGTGAATAATATCTTTTTCCAGAACAGAATAAAACATTATAGTTTAATAAAAAAGAAATACTTCCGTAAAATACAAACCTATAAGGCAGAAATATTTTTATAAAAATGATAATTTCTTAATAAAAATTTACTGACAATTAGAGACTTCTTATTTTATTTTTCATTTAAGTTTATTTAAATAATGTTTCAACAAACATATTTTATATATATAATAGCTACCTATTTCCAAAGAAGGATGATGTGACGTATTTGTAAACAAGGATAAATCATTCAATCCAATCTATTTATTTATTTAATAATGTATTTGAAATCTAATTATGGACATAAAAACACAATAAAATCTAATTATGAATCATATCATTAAATATTTAGAACGAGAAAACAAAAAATGTACGTAATCGATTTTTATTGGGAGTATGTATCAAAATTTTAGAGATCTTATCTCTATGATCAAAATCCATTATTGCACTTTTCGAAACCTAATTGTTATAACAATGACTTTTTCAATGTTAAAGTCCGCCATCAACATGGTTGATCGTTATTTCACATTGTAGCTTCGTTTATTTTGACTGACATTTATTGCTACAGTTTAAACATTTGTGACGTTTCATTTTGATTACTAAACAATTTCTCTTTGTACGTTTACGCTTGTTTCGATGTAAATTTATTTAAATGAATTGAATTATTTCTTTATTCATAACTACTGCTGCAAAACACATGGATATGAAATGTTTGTATATAATTTTTATAAGGAGAAATACATTAAAAGTATTAAACATAGAACAAAAAATTGATTTAGTAGTTAATCTCTATTGTTCTACCTGTCAAAATTTATTATTGCACATTTCGAAACCTCATTGTTGCAGCAATGACTTATTCATTGTTACATTTGATCTATAACATTGTTAAACATGTTAAACCTCATTATGGTACGTTGTAGCTTCATTTAACGCCTAGTAGGTGGCATCAATCTTTGGTCAACTAAATTGAACAGTATGTAAATGATAAATTAACTATAGATAAAGCTATATAACAAAAAAACATAAGTAAATTGATACACTTTCTTTATTAACATTAATTTTTATTACAAAAATAATGCAGACCGGTTTTCATCATAATCATGACCTTTTCAAACTTCACAAGCTTCCACTTGTTAACAAACTTATACAAATGATTATTTTAAAAGATGCTTAAGTATATTTGTAAAAACAAACAAAATTTACATTCTATTTTTATAAATTTTCATCTTATAGTAGCGTATTGTTGGCAAGCCACACTAGAAAATTTAGCAAAATTGTCCATGGCGATTCCCAATCCTTCAACTGGGCTATGGATTTTAATTTGTCTCATGTGCGTATCACGACCATTTTGGTGATTGCTAGTTACAGCAATTTGTATCATAAACACCCTTATAGGTTTGTCACGAATGTCTTTTATAGGAATATGAACCCACCCTTGAAACATGAAAACTGTCAAGTAATTGATTAAGTACCAAAATTGGTACATGACCGATTATAAAATTATACTGGGTTGATTTAAGTTCATAATATTCGTTTAAATTGTGTTTTTCAGTGAAAATAACGTAGAATTAATGAATAATTTAACAATTTTCAATCAATTAGATAAATCAATAAAATCATCTGAAAGATGGCACCATAAAGCACGGATGATTATTCGATCTTATTAAGAGGATTATACATCAATTTGATTTATTTTTGTCTAATAAGTTATAAAACAAAAATAACAATCACGGATTTCATAATTACCTGAAGGTTCTGATAACATTTTTACTTCGACTTCCTGTAAATCATTGAAATGGGTACCAACTCTAATTGAAATACGACTAGGAGTGTAACTTTCATCTAATTTATAATCTGTATAAATGTAAATGTCGCTTATTGTGGTTTTTCTTTGGAATTGTATATTAACTAAATGTGGAAGTTGCCCATCCGATTGCCAATAGGTATCATTTCGATCATCACGAAGTTGCTCAACTCCAAAACCTAGATTTCAGTAATGTGGTTTATCAATTTAAAATCATGCAGTTGAAATGCGTTAAATAGTAATAACTGTGGATATAACTTCTTAATAGCATGCATTTTACGAAAATATATAACAGCCAAAGGAATAAGTATATAAAATTTTAAAGTAAATCCGGCAATGGGGTATTATTTGTGGATAAAAAAATTTGAAGGACACATGGAAAATGACAGTTTATATCTATGATGACAGCTATATGACAGCATGCTTAATTTTTTTATGTGACCTTCAGTTATTTTATACTACTCGTTGGGGCTTCCTAGGATCAATTCTATTTTTAAATATTAGAAATTCACCAACCTGGCTTGCAAGATGACAAACTCCAAATTGCTTGATTACCGACTTCTCTAACTTTGCCTAAACGTTCATTTACAACGGGATCAAGCTCTTCTGTCATTTTGAATGAATTTTGTAAGAAAAATAAATAATTTCAAATGTTCGTTGAAATTCCCAATGGCGCTTTATTATTTGTGATAAATAACGAACAAAGAAGTAATATTCACAGTGAATAAGAAATGTATACGAGTTTTCCACCTAAAACCATAACGATACGACCGGCTTTTCTATCTCCAAATCACCAAAATCAGCTGATCAACAGCTACATTATATATCAAAAGGAAATGAGAGGAGAAGCAAGCGGAAGTATGAAATGCTGCATAAGTCGCATTGGCTTAATCATTTGAAATTTGAAGCAAGAAAATTAAGTTGCGAAAATTGAAACGAATACAAAATTCATCAGTACATAAGACGATAAGATCCTTGAATAAAATATTTAAATCATTTTCATTAGGATTTGATGTGCATACATGAACATGTCACGTTGTAATATGTCATTAGATGGTGTTACAAATTGTCCAATTTTAAAAACTCACTCCAGTATTTTCGCTTATTTACAGTTAACAAAAATATTGTATTGCAAAAATGAAAACAGTGTAACCATTTCTCTATAAGACGTGGAACAGTATAGTTTCGTATATCTCAAAGTTTAAAATTTGTTTACGTGATGTCGGTGATAATCAAATTTTTGAAAGGTGTTAGAAACCATTGGAAAAAGTCTACACTTGGTGCAGTGTGTTTTGTTTATGGTTGCAATTACGCAAAAAATGCTTATGAGTACGATATTTTTTACTTTGTAATTGATATTTTTTTAATATTCCTACATCCACAGTACGAATCTTCTTATGCGTGAATATTGTATGAAAGCATTAGAGTATGGGAAAGAGCCGATTTCGAAAGATTCAAAACCTAGAAACATAACTATTATCCTAAATCCTAATGCAAATAAACGAAAAGCACATAAAAGATTTCAAAAACATTGCGCCCCCATATTGTATGTTGCTGGAATATGCGTGGACGTGATTCAAACGGAATCGGAGGGCCACGCTAAAAGATTAATGGAAGAGTTGAAAAATACTGATGCCATTGTTGTTGCTGGTGGAGATGGAACATTATCAGAAGTTGTTTCTGGATTAATGAGAAGATTGGAAGATGTACAGACAGATGCAGTTCCACTAGGTATCCTGCCTCTTGGTAGCCACAATACTGTTGGAAAAACACTATTTCCTGGTGATGGTGACTTAAAAGATGTAAAAAGTTTAGCTGATGCTTCACTCGCTGTAGTTGAAGCATGTACCAAACCTGTAGATGTTATGAAAATTGAAGTTACTGATAAGACTGAGAATTCTGGTAAGTGGCCAAAAATGGATGACCTTTTATAACACTGCTCTAAACAGCATAAGCTAAGAAAAGTTTAATCGTCGTTTTTAATGTAGGAAAGCCAATCTATGCAGTGTCTTGCTTAGAATGGGGTGCCTTTAGAGATGCAGAAGCCAGAAAGGATAAATACTGGTATTTTGGACCCTTAAGAAGTTACATCACTTATTTAGTTAATGGGTGCATATTGCATTACTTTTGGTATTTGTAATGGCTATCTGATGGTAATTTTTTGTTTTCAGATTTAAAAATGATTTAAATTGGGACTGCAAAGCAACAATTAACTACACCTTGCCATGTAAGGGATGTTCAAATTGTCAAGCCAAACCAAATGAAAATAGAAGATGGTACCACAGGTATGAAATAATTATTTAATTGCCATTTATGCAGATGATTTATCAAAACCTTCTTCAAGATTTATGCCGTATAAGGAACGCGTTGCTGAATTAACGACCGTCGCAAACGACGAATGCCAGGAAATTCATGAGAAGGAAATATCAACAGTGGATTTTTCACTTTTCACCAGTAACATAGTCGCTAACGTTGATCATGCNTTAAGAAAATACTACAAATGGCGTGGTGAGCGCCATCTGTAGTACGATGCTACATTTGAGGATTACATATGCTCCAACAAGGTCCATTTAAAAATATGGATATCTACTTGTTGAAACGAATCCCGGCGTAGCTCACCTCAACGTGATAGGCACGTTACCATAATCGAACAATTTTAGTAGACCATTATTTTTGAATTTTTTTTTTGTATATTCAATTAAATACTAAATTATTGACGAGCTCAGTACTGCCTGCTATTTCAAAATTGGATGAATTGTAACTGAATTTTTTGACTTTCAATTTAAATAAAAAAATAGTGTTTCTTCAAAACTCAGACCGAAACCTGGGATTCTCCATGTCAACCCTATATAATTTTATTAATTCCCCGGGAATTTTCTGGAAAAGGGACAAAAGACAGCGAAAATAGAAATTATTATTTTATAGATGTCTATAAAAATATTACTAAATAATTAATTAATGAACTCTACATAAAATGGAAATCTGTTGGCCAAATCCTACTTACAAGCGTGAATATAAAATATATGCTAATAGACTACAAATTATTTAAATTAGCGAAAGTAAACCATGACAAAAAACATTTATAGCATAAGAGATAACTCCAAGAAATTTTGGAGGTTGGAAAAAAGAAAATGGGAATCCTAGATAAGACGCTTGTTCTTCAGGATCTACCTAACCTTATCTACGATAAGAGTGGGGATAAGTGTGGTACAAAGACTATAGCAAACAAATTTAATAACTATTTCATTAAGGTTGCTGAAAACCTAGCTATGAACTTTCATAAAACTAGTGTACAGCCTGACTATGAAGTTCCATGTTTTTAATGCTGACAATCACGAAATTGATGTTACAATAATGAATTTTAAAAATACAGCTGGTAGTTCTTACAACACAAATGCCAATATTATTAAAACTCATTTAATTGGTCCATTTACTTCAATTTTTAGTAGATGCTCAAAATCCGGAATTTAGCCCGAGTTATAATATCAGTTTATAAACATGGCAATAAAAAGAAAATGGAGAACTGCAGACCAATCTTGCTCACTTCAAATTTTTATAAAATATTAGAAATATAATATACACTAGGTTTTTTGGCTGTTAAACAAAACACAATTTATTATCAGAAAATGCTTTAGCTGATTTGGCCGACCAAATCTATGGTTAAAATAAGAAACCTCGGAATAACGATGGATGCCAAAATGAAATGGAACCTACATATTATTAGCATAGTTTTGAAATTATGGATTACTCAGAAATGATAACGATATTTCATGGCTTGTTTATGAATGTTGTCAATCACGGAATTCTAATTTGATCATTTTTGAATACGAACAATATCGAATAAAAACTCGATAGATTGAGTTTCAAGAGAATTTGACCAGCAGGAGAACCGACAATTATTTTTAAATCTTTTATCTACATACAATTAAATANATTATGGACATAAAAACACAATAAAATCTAATTATGAATCATATCATTAAATATTTAGAACGAGAAAACAAAAAATGTACGTAATCGATTTTTATTGGGAGTATGTATCAAAATTTTAGAGATCTTATCTCTATGATCAAAATCCATTATTGCACTTTTCGAAACCTAATTGTTATAACAATGACTTTTTCAATGTTAAAGTCCGCCATCAACATGGTTGATCGTTATTTCACATTGTAGCTTCGTTTATTTTGACTGACATTTATTGCTACAGTTTAAACATTTGTGACGTTTCATTTTGATTACTAAACAATTTCTCTTTGTACGTTTACGCTTGTTTCGATGTAAATTTATTTAAATGAATTGAATTATTTCTTTATTCATAACTACTGCTGCAAAACACATGGATATGAAATGTTTGTATATAATTTTTATAAGGAGAAATACATTAAAAGTATTAAACATAGAACAAAAAATTGATTTAGTAGTTAATCTCTATTGTTCTACCTGTCAAAATTTATTATTGCACATTTCGAAACCTCATTGTTGCAGCAATGACTTATTCATTGTTACATTTGATCTATAACATTGTTAAACATGTTAAACCTCATTATGGTACGTTGTAGCTTCATTTAACGCCTAGTAGGTGGCATCAATCTTTGGTCAACTAAATTGAACAGTATGTAAATGATAAATTAACTATAGATAAAGCTATATAACAAAAAAACATAAGTAAATTGATACACTTTCTTTATTAACATTAATTTTTATTACAAAAATAATGCAGACCGGTTTTCATCATAATCATGACCTTTTCAAACTTCACAAGCTTCCACTTGTTAACAAACTTATACAAATGATTATTTTAAAAGATGCTTAAGTATATTTGTAAAAACAAACAAAATTTACATTCTATTTTTATAAATTTTCATCTTATAGTAGCGTATTGTTGGCAAGCCACACTAGAAAATTTAGCAAAATTGTCCATGGCGATTCCCAATCCTTCAACTGGGCTATGGATTTTAATTTGTCTCATGTGCGTATCACGACCATTTTGGTGATTGCTAGTTACAGCAATTTGTATCATAAACACCCTTATAGGTTTGTCACGAATGTCTTTTATAGGAATATGAACCCACCCTTGAAACATGAAAACTGTCAAGTAATTGATTAAGTACCAAAATTGGTACATGACCGATTATAAAATTATACTGGGTTGATTTAAGTTCATAATATTCGTTTAAATTGTGTTTTTCAGTGAAAATAACGTAGAATTAATGAATAATTTAACAATTTTCAATCAATTAGATAAATCAATAAAATCATCTGAAAGATGGCACCATAAAGCACGGATGATTATTCGATCTTATTAAGAGGATTATACATCAATTTGATTTATTTTTGTCTAATAAGTTATAAAACAAAAATAACAATCACGGATTTCATAATTACCTGAAGGTTCTGATAACATTTTTACTTCGACTTCCTGTAAATCATTGAAATGGGTACCAACTCTAATTGAAATACGACTAGGAGTGTAACTTTCATCTAATTTATAATCTGTATAAATGTAAATGTCGCTTATTGTGGTTTTTCTTTGGAATTGTATATTAACTAAATGTGGAAGTTGCCCATCCGATTGCCAATAGGTATCATTTCGATCATCACGAAGTTGCTCAACTCCAAAACCTAGATTTCAGTAATGTGGTTTATCAATTTAAAATCATGCAGTTGAAATGCGTTAAATAGTAATAACTGTGGATATAACTTCTTAATAGCATGCATTTTACGAAAATATATAACAGCCAAAGGAATAAGTATATAAAATTTTAAAGTAAATCCGGCAATGGGGTATTATTTGTGGATAAAAAAATTTGAAGGACACATGGAAAATGACAGTTTATATCTATGATGACAGCTATATGACAGCATGCTTAATTTTTTTATGTGACCTTCAGTTATTTTATACTACTCGTTGGGGCTTCCTAGGATCAATTCTATTTTTAAATATTAGAAATTCACCAACCTGGCTTGCAAGATGACAAACTCCAAATTGCTTGATTACCGACTTCTCTAACTTTGCCTAAACGTTCATTTACAACGGGATCAAGCTCTTCTGTCATTTTGAATGAATTTTGTAAGAAAAATAAATAATTTCAAATGTTCGTTGAAATTCCCAATGGCGCTTTATTATTTGTGATAAATAACGAACAAAGAAGTAATATTCACAGTGAATAAGAAATGTATACGAGTTTTCCACCTAAAACCATAACGATACGACCGGCTTTTCTATCTCCAAATCACCAAAATCAGCTGATCAACAGCTACATTATATATCAAAAGGAAATGAGAGGAGAAGCAAGCGGAAGTATGAAATGCTGCATAAGTCGCATTGGCTTAATCATTTGAAATTTGAAGCAAGAAAATTAAGTTGCGAAAATTGAAACGAATACAAAATTCATCAGTACATAAGACGATAAGATCCTTGAATAAAATATTTAAATCATTTTCATTAGGATTTGATGTGCATACATGAACATGTCACGTTGTAATATGTCATTAGATGGTGTTACAAATTGTCCAATTTTAAAAACTCACTCCAGTATTTTCGCTTATTTACAGTTAACAAAAATATTGTATTGCAAAAATGAAAACAGTGTAACCATTTCTCTATAAGACGTGGAACAGTATAGTTTCGTATATCTCAAAGTTTAAAATTTGTTTACGTGATGTCGGTGATAATCAAATTTTTGAAAGGTGTTAGAAACCATTGGAAAAAGTCTACACTTGGTGCAGTGTGTTTTGTTTATGGTTGCAATTACGCAAAAAATGCTTATGAGTACGATATTTTTTACTTTGTAATTGATATTTTTTTAATATTCCTACATCCACAGTACGAATCTTCTTATGCGTGAATATTGTATGAAAGCATTAGAGTATGGGAAAGAGCCGATTTCGAAAGATTCAAAACCTAGAAACATAACTATTATCCTAAATCCTAATGCAAATAAACGAAAAGCACATAAAAGATTTCAAAAACATTGCGCCCCCATATTGTATGTTGCTGGAATATGCGTGGACGTGATTCAAACGGAATCGGAGGGCCACGCTAAAAGATTAATGGAAGAGTTGAAAAATACTGATGCCATTGTTGTTGCTGGTGGAGATGGAACATTATCAGAAGTTGTTTCTGGATTAATGAGAAGATTGGAAGATGTACAGACAGATGCAGTTCCACTAGGTATCCTGCCTCTTGGTAGCCACAATACTGTTGGAAAAACACTATTTCCTGGTGATGGTGACTTAAAAGATGTAAAAAGTTTAGCTGATGCTTCACTCGCTGTAGTTGAAGCATGTACCAAACCTGTAGATGTTATGAAAATTGAAGTTACTGATAAGACTGAGAATTCTGGTAAGTGGCCAAAAATGGATGACCTTTTATAACACTGCTCTAAACAGCATAAGCTAAGAAAAGTTTAATCGTCGTTTTTAATGTAGGAAAGCCAATCTATGCAGTGTCTTGCTTAGAATGGGGTGCCTTTAGAGATGCAGAAGCCAGAAAGGATAAATACTGGTATTTTGGACCCTTAAGAAGTTACATCACTTATTTAGTTAATGGGTGCATATTGCATTACTTTTGGTATTTGTAATGGCTATCTGATGGTAATTTTTTGTTTTCAGATTTAAAAATGATTTAAATTGGGACTGCAAAGCAACAATTAACTACACCTTGCCATGTAAGGGATGTTCAAATTGTCAAGCCAAACCAAATGAAAATAGAAGATGGTACCACAGGTATGAAATAATTATTTAATTGCCATTTATGCAGATGATTTATCAAAACCTTCTTCAAGATTTATGCCGTATAAGGAACGCGTTGCTGAATTAACGACCGTCGCAAACGACGAATGCCAGGAAATTCATGAGAAGGAAATATCAACAGTGGATTTTTCACTTTTCACCAGTAACATAGTCGCTAACGTTGATCATGCGAAAAGTAACGATGAACCTGCAAAACTTAGTTTAACCTTAGGCCCAAAAACTGTCGATTATACAAATTTTGTGTCTCAGGGGTGGAAATCGGAAAAAGGATTCGGCAGAAATTACAGTGAAGTAATCGAAGCTAAACAGATAGAAATCATTCCAAAGTCGAATCAACAACATGGGAAAGAATTTTGGTACTCCATTGACAAAGAAGATTATGAAGTGAAACCAATTAAAATTACGCTAATGCCGAGGGCCTTACGGATGTTCTGTAGAAAATCTGATATTGAATTAGTGCAATAAGAACTTATATAACATATATTATTTTATTTTCACATGAAAAATAAGCACTCTTCTATTCATAAATACAAACACTCTTACAATTATGACTTAAGTAAACTTAATGTAAGAAATCGTATTTTTGTAAATTATTTCGGTTACAGGGTATTGAATTATAAAAACATATAAATCAAGGATAATACTAAAGTGTAAGTTACATTAGAAGTGGGTTCGGTACCCCTCCATATAAACGGCTATACGATCAATTATAGTTTTCTACATTAATAAAAAAAAACTTCAATATCCTTTACAGTAATTCTCGTTAACTTAAGTAGTCGGCTTTTTATCATCATTTAATTCGTAGAATACAAACGTATCAACAGAGATTCTAATTGAATAGAACTAACATATAAACAGTCACCTTGACCATTTTTGTCAAGATGTCACAAAATAATCGTTTTAAAAACGCGTTAAAAGTAATTAAACCTAAACTAAATTTGTAGAGTAATGACAAGGATAGGAACTTAGGTTTGGTGATTTAGGTGAGCAAGGCTGAGTATTACTACTGGTAATTTTGAAAAATTTCAGGAGTGGACTATGGGGCGAGGACGGATTAGTTCCTTTAAACTTATGCCGTGACTTAGGAGTGGTACAGGTATTATTTTTGGGAGAACAGTCAACAGTTTCTACATTTGGCAAAGAACCTTTTTCATCTCGTATTTTACTTAACCAGTCTTTTTCAACCTTTTTAATGGGAGATACATTTAAGTGTGGAGCTCTGCCGTCAATGACGAAATTTGGCAAATCAGATATCACTGTTGTCTTTGAGGAACTTTCATCAAAGTCTATTAATGCCAAAGGAGATGTTACTTTAGTAACTTCTGATTGATGAGGACAATCTAACTTAACTCGTTTTGATGGTATATCAGTATCATCATCTTTATTAAATGAACTATTATCATTCTCTTTATCTTCTTTCAGTCTTTTACAGGGCGATTCGTATTTCTCATCTTGTATATCAGGTACTTCTTGAACGTGGGCTGATTTATAACATTCTGAAGAGTTTTGGTCGATACTGCTAAAAAGCTTCTTGGGTCCAAACATCGATTTAAAAATTTTGATGTTATTTCCTTCACCACTTTCTATAAATCTCTTTACTGATTCATTTTTATTTTCTTTAAAAATTGTATTTAAACGTCTTTTGCAACCACGACGCGGAGGATGCCTTTTTTTCTTTTTAATACGCATGGCTACCCCAGCACCTTCAACTTCCCAATTATCTGACGTTTCTTCATCGCCGACTTTCCAAAACTTGTGTTTGAGATCATCAGAACATGTAATAATAGCAATTTCATAAGATGGACACCACGCAACGCAGGTGACTTCTGCTTGATGACCGACCAATTTTATTAATGGAGTGGAACTGGCAACATCCCAGATGTATGCGTTATGGTCGCTACTTCCGCTAACTAAATACCGGCCATTGGGACTAAGGCTGGACTTGATATAAAAGGTACTATTCTCGTGTCCAGAATATTTCATGTATGGCGTTGTATTGTATGTCCCGACATTATAGCAGTAAATGTTGTTATCTAAACAGTTGGCATACAATTTCATACAAGACCGATCTAAGGTGAGGTTACTAAAGCCATTCTTTGCAGTAGATCCTTGATGCGGCAAAACGAATTTTGGTACTGGATCGTGGGTATAATTGCTGTAAGTTTTACGCATATCCCACACTTTTATTACCCCATCTCCTGCTCCGCATGATATTAAGGAGTATTCGTCTTGAAACACTAGACCTGTTACAGAATCTGCCCCTGATACGGCTGTGCACATAATATTCTTTTTTCGTTTGGGTTTTGATGTGGAGAGTGACTTGTTAAATCTGTGTGTATTGTAAAGACAACGATCAACTTTTCCAATTAAAGATTGATTGCTACGGGCGTCCCACGTAAGAATAGTCCCGTCTCTCCCGCCTGTAGCAAAAACGCTGGAATCGTTATAGCGAAATGCTACTGTCTTAACTGAACGTGTATGTCCCTCAAAGATCTGCGTTGGTTGTATGCCTGACTCGGACACATCTTGGAGACATGCCGAATGATCACCTGAAACAGTGACTAATTTCATTTGATCAAACATCCACGCTAAATCAAAAATCGCGTTCCGATGTGCATCGCAGCCAAATCGTTGTTTAGTGCCATTCATGTTGTGGATCGCCAACTTGCCGTCTTCATTGGCGAGAGCCAAAATATGTTCGTAACCTACGGTAAAAAAGAAATGCATACATTATCACTTATTAAAAATACATTATGTAGTGCAGGAGTTAAGAGGAGCAGAGGTAGCGCCAGATTACATTACTATTCACAACTCATAACACTATAAATACTTGAGCTTCAAAGACTGTTTAACACATTTATGATGTATCTAAATTCAAAAACCCACACTAATTTATTGTATTCTAAAAATATCTATTTACCTTCTTTTTGGGCAAATTTACAGGCAAAAATTGGAGGCTCCACTATATCTGTTGTCCAGTTGTTTTCACAAGGCAAAATTTGTGAATATTCATCTTTCTTTGGACATCTTAAACGGCTGAGAGCGGTATTGATATTACTCCAGCGTACTAAAAATTCATCAACTTAAAAAAAATCATAATTTCAAAAATAATACTTACCACAACCTCTTTGCTGGCTAATGAACGAACGAATATCATTCATTTTCCAAAAAACTGAAAGAACTGCCGGGTGTGTATATTTAAATTTTATTTAAGGATCTATTATAAAATAATATCCTATTTACCACTTTACATTTGAATGCACTACATTTTACAATTACTTAATTAAAAAAAACACAATATTCATTGTGGTTCTTTAACTACACACGAAAAGAACTTAAGAATATCTACTCCCGAATATTCCCGCACTTTTTAATACCTTTAACCAAAACATTAACAAAGCAGCTATCCGTCAACAGCTAAAAATTGAGGGTTACAGAACATTCTCTAGAATATTCATAATTTTTCTAGAAATCAGTTAGATGTCAATGCTATCAATGGTTCAGCATGCCATAACATTCAAATTGAGAAGTCACCATAGAGAGCCAGACGTCAACTGTGGATACTTTTCCTAACTTCAATACAAATTTTGGACCAATAATTTGTGTTACTTACTGATGCTACATAAAAACTGATATTCAAAAAGTAAACGTATTTGATTCGTTGCGATCTCTAAATCGTGTAACTTCAGTTTTTCTTCTATTATGATATTCTCACTAATTTCGCTATGACGTAGTGTCGGCCATCATTCTTTTCTAATTGTTGCTGTTGTCGGCCATCATTCTTTTTCAATTGTTGTCGCATTGTCACTGATATCGGCCATTATGGTTTTTTAATAGATGTATAGCAATCAATGATTAAAATTTAAAGGAATTGTTTGTAAATAAGTATGCAACACATCGTGCACTTCAGCATAAGAAATTGCTGATACTAACTACGTACTACTATTTTGCCCTGTGCTGACAGCACTCATAATTTCTTTTATATATAATATTTAGTCGTATGTACTTCTGCTGAAGAAACAGCGATTTGTCAATATTGATATTGCCTTTTCTCACAAAAGTTTCACAAAGTTCCAAAAAGTTTCTCTATCTTCGATACGTAACAAATGTCGACGGTTTCTACTGTGACCGATAAACATCAAAAGAAAATCATCAACAAAGAGAAACAAATGCCAGTTGCTACCGTGGTGGAAACAAATGATGCAAATTTACTAGATAATAAAAGAGTCACCAATTGCCGGAAATCGCAGTGTGGCAAGAAGTCGTTCTAAAAAAGAAATATTGTTTTTATAATTCGTTCTCTTGCTTTTAATTCTGGGAGGAACTTGACAATAAAATTTTGGACACTACCATTGACTACCTAACTTAATACCAAAATAAAAAGAACATGGCCAAGACAGCATTCACTGTTCCTACAGTAATCCTAATATCCTAAACCAGCAGAACCTTACCAAAAAATGCTTTTATTTGATTGCTTAATATCATAACATTAAGGTAGGAAAAGACAACAAGAACGAAGCGAATCAGAATATGCTCCTGTATAAAAATTGAAATTTCTTTAAGTTAGATTGGAATTGAGTTAGGCTTAGTTTAGCACGTTTAGTTCCGATTTTCAATTTACTGACGTCAAAATATCTAATCATCTAGTAGGCGTTTATCCAAAGTATTTGTAAAGATGATTTCCATCAATTTTACACAACGTAGTACCATTTCCAGTGGTAGTAGTATATGAATAATAAAGTAGCCATACAAAGCAATAAATTGAAAGGATGCTTTTTATAAAACTAATTAATCAACAAATCATTACTTATAAACAAGTAGTACAAATGTGTATCTCTTTATTATCTATATGCGATAAACACATTTGTTTTGACTTGCAAGTTATTAAATGTATCTGACTGAAAGTGCGTAGTTATACTAGAACAATAAATATTTAAGTACTCCGTTATCATCGCTTCAAATTTTGCAAACTTTTAAATAAATAAACAAATAATCAAGTTTGCAACAATTGGTAGGTAGTATGTAGGGTATTAGTACTAGCAGAGTTTCATGTTATCGTTAAACTATTACCGTGTTAGTGACAAACTGTTACTGATAACGGCACATTCTATTAGTAGCAAGTAGCAAATAAAAAAGAAATTATATCTATCCGCAATATTTTTTTATTAATTTTTAGTTAAGTCAAGATGTTAGAGCTAACACGCCGCGATTATGTTCTATAATTTCAAGCGAAGTTTGAGTGCTGATGATTGTCAATAATTAGAATTTGTGTTTCAATAGAAAAAGAGTAGTAGCCAAAAGCAGTGTATAGACGACACAAACAGTTCTAAAGAAGAAAATTTAACTTCTCGATTCGCCTGACTTGTTGAAACAGTAACTTCAGAAAACATAGCCGCTATTTAAGAGGAATTTTGAAGATTAGTGATCCATCAGTTTTGCACGTTGCACGTTGTTGGTACCGCATCTTTTAATAACGGCCCAAATATTGTCAAAAAATGCTCACTATGTTTGATGGAGGAAATCTCCTTATTGGAATTCTATAGTAATAAGTGACGAATCTTGACTNTAGAAATATAATATACACTAGGTTTTTTGGCTGTTAAACAAAACACAATTTATTATCAGAAAATGCTTTAGCTGATTTGGCCGACCAAATCTATGGTTAAAATAAGAAACCTCGGAATAACGATGGATGCCAAAATGAAATGGAACCTACATATTATTAGCATAGTTTTGAAATTATGGATTACTCAGAAATGATAACGATATTTCATGGCTTGTTTATGAATGTTGTCAATCACGGAATTCTAATTTGATCATTTTTGAATACGAACAATATCGAATAAAAACTCGATAGATTGAGTTTCAAGAGAATTTGACCAGCAGGAGAACCGACAATTATTTTTAAATCTTTTATCTACATACAATTAAATATTAAATAAATTAATAAAAGAACTCAAATGTAACTATAAAATACATATTACGTAGAAATGATCAATTAATTAACTGGCAATATTTTTAAAGACATCATCTTATAAAATTAGTTTAAAAACCCTTACACATTTTTATTTGAAGTAGTTGAAAAACGTATGTAGTTACTAATTACGAGTACTTAGTTAACGTTTATTATTAAGTATCACTTTAATACTAAAAATAAGAGATTCATTGAAATACATAAAATTTATCTTAAAATATTATCGAAAATGTTGGTGGAGGCGCCGGGACATTTTAAAACAAACCCTATAATTAAAGTGTAATTCCGGTTTCATTAAAGCAGATTGATAAATTTTCATGTTCATTTCAAATTATATTTGTTCTTCTATGTTGATGTATTTACAGTTGGTTAGGGATGCTAATTTATATTCTTCTATTTACAATTAAGCTAGATTTTGTAATATAATAATAGGCAACACCCAACACCAGCAGATACTATAATTCTAGTAGTTTTAGCGCTTTTTCTCGCGGAAATCCCTTGTTTACATGAAGATACTGTTCTTGAGCAAATCACATTAGGTAGAAATAATTAAGTAATTGTTTAGAAACATTTGTATAGACATTTTTCCTTAAAATTTGGTTGAAAACCCTTACATACACGTTTTTATTTAGAGCAAAAACTGTTTATTCTACTAATTACGAATATTTCGTTAATGTCCATTATAGACTAACATTTTAATGCTTATTTCTTTCTGGATTTATAGAAGAAAAGTCATTAAAAAGAATAACTAACTACGGGTTCGACTTTAGAGTGTGTCGTTATCATTAATTTTGATGTGATTGTAACTATGAGAAATATTTAGATAAATGGTTTATCTATACGATGTTTTCACTGTAACCTACGGTTTATGCATGTAATAAAATCAATAGGTTAATAAAAGCGTCATTATTACTGTAGTCGGGTGTGAAATCGTTGGCTACTGGACCTTGAAGGGGACAAGGGTGTAGTACCAGTAGCTATACCCAGTTAAAGTGGAAATCCAGCCGAAAATGAATTCATTGTTCGGAGCAATTTCTAATCGATTAGGCGTTTAATATTTCTCTTCGAACGAGTTTCGTTAAACAACAAAACAATAATTGATCTTTTTATTTGTAATCATTCGGTCGCTCTGTGCCCATACTTCTTCACCGCATGACATCTGCTTGGGTTTCATACGATATCAAAGGCTTCAATAAATAATCGGCCGATGAGATGTTTGGGAACGGACGGCGAGACTTTCGCAAAACGATTGCAAATTATGCTCGTTCACTCTTCCGTTAATCTGTTGATTTCAACAACACGCCTAGGGGTTGGAGGAGGCTGCGTAATTATTATGGGAGCGCTCCGAAACGCTATTGTTTATTTTATACCAAGTGTGGCCCATTAATTGTACGGGTCAAGATTATCCGATTGTCAGTTCTAATTACGTGTTCTAATAACTATATGTTGGGACGAACACGAATTTAACAAAAAACTGCGCGTATTGTTAGAACAACGTTCAGTTCGTTTTAGCTGAGTACCTACAATTTTATGGGTTCCATCAAGTGTCGATGTATTTTTCAAAACAATATTTTATTTTTAATCTGAACAATATCAACATGTTTAAAAAAATTGCAGTTTCGGCTGACAACTAAGTATGGTGACGGCTTAAGTTTGATCACAGAAACTAGTAAGTGGTCACATCACCATTGGCCTTTATCACTGCATGAATTCTGACGGGCATATTTTCAACTAATTTCCTGCAGAATTCGGGTTTGTATCCCGTATATGTGTCTAATTGCGTTTCTTACTTCCGAAATAATTCGCTGCGGACGATTTCATAAATGTTTTCGTAGTTCATGCCATACGTTTTCTATGACGTTTAAATCAGGTCTATTCGATGACCAAGACAATTCATTTATGTGGTTATATCCCAGCCATGCCTTTCTGGTGCGTATTGTATAACTTGAAGCACCATCTTGTTGGAAAATACAGTTTCCGTAAGGACAAAGGCCTTTAATACTTGGCAGTAAAGAGGTTTGCAAAACTTCTTGGTACTTATCATTGGGGGTTCTGTAGGACTAATTGTAGGCAGTGCATCGTTTAAAGAAGCAACCCCCCAACCTTTACCATTTTGTCTGAAAAAGGTCAAAACCAGAAAAGTTGGATCTACTAATGGTGTGATTATTGGTCCATATCATTGGCGTCTCTGTTGGTCTAATTGTGATCAGTGCATCGTTTAAAGAAGCAACCCCCAACCTTTACCACTTTGCCCGAAAAAGGTCAAAACCAGAAAAGTTGGATTTACTAATGGTGTGATTATTGGTCCATATTATTGGCGTATCTGCAGGTCTAATTGTGGTCAATGTATCGTTCAAAGAAGCAACCCCCCAACCTTTACCACTTTGCCTGAAAAAGGTCAAAACCCGAAAAGTAGGATCTACTAATATGGCAATTAT